TTTTTTTTTTTTTTTTTTTTTTACTTCATCTTAGTTTTCTAGGTTGTCTTGGATTACATGATGAAACTCAAAGGTAGAAAAAGGAAGCATCAGCACCAGAATTATCCTGTTCACTGCACAGACAAATTGCTTATGCTGGAAGGCTAACGGAAGGAAAACACAATGTAATTTTGCCTATTATTTATAATTGCCTTCTATTCCTACCGGGCTGATTGAGGATGAACTACAATATCCCGTTTCATCATGTAATCCAAGACAACCTAGAAAACTAAGATGAAGTAAAAAAAAAAAAAAACAGTAATATAAATTAACATAACAATATATTTTCAAAATCTTAATAAAACAGAATGAAATAAAAAGTCAGGAAAAATAGGAGGGGGGAATAAATGCCAGGAAGATTGCAAATAATTGTGGGAGGAAGTTAACAAAGTTGGCTTTAAAAAAACAAAGAATTAAACAGAAATGTTTTAATACTGAAGTAGGAGGTCAAACAAGGAAATACTAGGCAAATGTCCCTAAATAGGAAATTCCAATATCCAGTCAAAGTGACAAAGAATATTCTGTCTCTTGTCCAAGCAAATGTAACTTTGGAAGTGACAAGAAAACTACAAACAAATGAACCTAATAGTGACCGGGCTGATTGAGGATGAACTACAATATCCTGTTTATAAATAATACACAGCTAAAAAGTCAACATGCTGAGTTGCTATAAACTTGCTATAAATCTACGGTAGTACAAAGTCGGGATCAGAAGAAATCTCGCAAAAATGTGTCTTTCTTTTTAAGGAGTCCAATCTATTCTAGTATGAGTGAAAGCCATATTTTTCTACTAGTATTCAGATGCATAGCTATTTTGCATACCTTATATCTTCACTTATTAACCATCATCCTGCTCACCAGTAACACCATGTGATGATATTGGGATTTCCAAAACTTCTCTGGAAACTGACAGTACAGACCCTCTTTACTAGATAGGTGTCCTCAACAAACTAACTGCATTAATTTCACATTTCCATATAGTTTTCCCAGTGGTGGTCACTTTTTTCTACATACCTAAATAACTATACCCTTGTATGTGCAATATGTGCACAGGCTATGTCCACTCCAGCTCTGCAAAGGGAAAAAAACATCACAGCACATCACACGACGGCAATGTGACACTGCGAATTTGACACCTGTGTGCTATATCATGCTTTACAACTGCACCATTTACCACTACAAATTCTGGTTCTAATTCCTGTGAAGAGTAGTGTAATAACTATATGACAAATATATTAACAGCAATAGCCAGTATTACACTCAGATTATTATAATGTAGTACATACTTTGATAACAGGTTGATGATGCCTAAATTCAGTGGAATATGACTACATAGCATGCCTCTGGATCCAAAGATCATGTCATACCAATCCAAAACACATGGCTATCCTTTTGGTATGATAACAGCATAAAATGAACTCTTGATCTTTGAAGCAGAAGCAGTAAAGAAAGACTGTTAATGCTTATGAACTTTGGTGTTGGAGAAGATGCCAGAGATTATCATGGACAGCCCAGAAAGCAAACAAATCAATTATCAAGCAAATCAATTCAAGGCACAAAATGTTCATCATACTTGTCACATTTATGATAAGTTCTATCTTTCTTGAGAAGTCCATAATGCTAGCAAAGGTGAAAGATAAAAGAAAAGAATGGCCAGATGGAAAGTGGATGGGCTTGATCATAGCAGGGTGGACCACTGGAAATGGGTGAACCATAAGGAAAGCATCATGGAGAAAATCTACCTATATAGTCACTAAACGCCAAGACAAATTTGATGGCACTTAATTCTTATATAGATAAAAGTTGAAGTTCTACTGATTATCTTGGAAAATAAACCTATGAGCCATGGTGGTGCAGTGGTTAGAATGCAATGCTGCAGGCTACTTCTACTGACTGCCGGCTTCCAGGAATTCGGCAGTTTGAATCTCACCAGGCTCAAGGTTGATTCAGCCTTCCATCCTTCTGAGGTGACTAAAATGAGGAACCTAATTGTTGGGCAAAATATGCTGACTCTGTAAATCGCTTAGAGAGGGCTATAGAGCACTGTGAAGCGGTATACAAGTCTAAATGCTAATGCTAATACCTTAAAGTAGTATCTACACACTATGTAGTATTCAAACTACATCTATTTCACATAAAGCCCACTGGTTTGCAACTACAACGTTATTGCAATTTACTTTGATGTTTCATCTTAAATATAAAACATGAAATTTCACAATGACATTACATGTAAATTGTGCAGATCATGAGATTACATTTTAAATCATTTTTTTTACCTCAGAAACAGCACTAGGGAACCACTGAAATCCAAATAATTAAAATAGGATGCTGGAGGTAAAGTCTCCTTTGAGACAAACTCAAAACCTGGAGACTATTTTTTACTTTATTTATTCAATTTATATCTTGCCTTTCCTTTAGGATCGTGATGGCAAACCTATGGCATGCATGCCCAAAGTGACCCACGAAGCTGGCACGTGTGGCCTTGCCTGTTTGTCTTCCATGTTTCTGGTGCACATGTGTGCGAGATGATCAGCTGTCTTTCTGATCAGCTGCCACTTGAGTGTGGCAGTGTCAAAAACCGATGTGCACATGCGTAGCCAGCTGATTATCGGGTGTACATGAATGCCAGAATCCAGAAATTTGGCTTTTCCAGAGCGCAATCCCTTCACGGGCACAACAGTGCCAAAAACTGGCCTGTGCATACCTGCCAGCCACCTGATAACCATGCACACATGCGTGCTAGAACCCAGAAGTTAGACTTTTTTTTAGTGTGGCCCTGACGAGCATGCGTGTACACACCCTTGCAATGTTTGCGTGCAAAAAGGTTCACCATCACTGCTTTAGGAGCTCAAGCTAGCAATGTGTAGCTC